CGGATCCCCTCCCCTTTCCTCTTTCCATATCTGTGACGCCCTGGTCCAATGGCGACAAGCCTGATTCCCATTGTCCTTCCTCTGTTAACTGGCTGCTCAGTCCCCAGTCTGTTACTGCCCCTGCCCAGCCCCTGCCGATGTCCTCCCGCCATCCTCCAGTGGCCCGTGGCCCTGCTTGGACAGCCACTCCTCACCAGGCCCAGGCCGGGGTCCACTCTGGGCCGCTGCAGCCCCCACCCCACCCCCTCACCCTCCCTCGGGGGCAGTCCCTGCCTGGCCGCCCAGGGATGGGGGAGGAAGAGAGAGAAAGGGGAGGCTTAGTGTCAGCAGATAGTCAGGGTAAGCGCCTTGAAGCGACGTCTGAGTCCCACCGTCCCCACAAACCACACAGGGGTTTGTCTGATTCTAGGATTTGCACCTCCAGAGACCCGCTCACCCCGGAAATCCCTGGTCACTGTGTTCGGGGAGCACCGGGCCAGGAGCGCCCACGGGGCTGAGCCTGCAGAAGTGGGTTCTCTCTGATTCTGCAGCCAGGGACCCAAGAGTCAGGTGTGCAGGGTGCTTCCTGAGGCCTCTCAGCATCTTGAAGGTGGCCTTTGTCTCCCTGTGTCCTCGGTGGCCGCCCCCTGTGTGTCCTGTCCCCAATCTCTTCCTTTTTTTTTTTTTTTTTTTGTGTGTGTGTGTGTGTGGTGCTGGGTTGGACCCAGGGCCTTGGGCATTTGAGGCAAGCTCTCTGCCAACTAAACTATGTCCCCAGCCGCCGCTTCCTCTTCTTAAAAGGACATCAGTCATACTGGATCAGGACCCAGCCAGTGACCTCATTTTACCTTAAGCCCTGTTCTGTCTCCACATACACCTCCCGGGCTGAGGTCTGGGGACTCTGGGGACTAGGGCTTCAGCATATGAACCTGTGGGGACACACTCAGGCAACAGCAGTCACATGTACCGATGCCCTCCAGGCCTGGGGCCCGTCCTCCCAGGTACCAGCTCTGCAGAGGGCAGCACGTGTAGCACCAGCGTCCCCCCCAATGGGGCCTTGTGGTGGCTGGGAGACCCCTGCTTGAACTAGCCTGGGCTTGGCCAGCAGAGGCCGGGAGCCCAGGCTGGCCTGCACCCCAACTCCCCAGTGGGTTAGATACAAGCCAATGGGGCCCTTAGACGTTCAGAGGTCACTGGAAAGTACCAGAGAGGGGGCCAGCTGGGCAGAGGGGGGGGGCCCTCCCCACCCAGTCCCAGGAGGCTCCGTGTCCAGCCTGGCCTCAACCAAGAGAGGGCAGAGCAGGGACCGAGGGTGAGACTCCAGCCAGAGCCTCCGTCAGGCAGGTCCTGTGTGGAGGAATGCCCAGCCCACACGGCCACCCACCTACTGCTTGATCTGGGCCAAGCCCTTTCTCTGGGTCTCAGTCTCCCCAGCTGCTAAGTGAGGGATGTGACCAGGATCCTAAGGTCCCCTCGGCCTTTGCTACTCCATCCTGTCTCCAAATTCCACCATCCCCCTCCAGAGAAGAACCTGACATCTACGGAGATGGGGATGCGGGGCCCAGGGTCTGTCCCCTCCCCAGGACTGCAGGGGCTCAATGGGACAAGGGGCTCAATGGAACAAGACTGAGAGGCAGGAGCCAGAGGGCCGCAGAGGAAGCGAAACCCAGGCTGGGGGCCCTCCCCCCACCCACCCCCAGAAAGGGGAAGCAGGAGGTGCCAGCTCCCTCTGCACCCACCCTCCCTGTGGCCCTCGGAAGGTAAGTCAGAAAGGCCACCGGGCTGTCACGCCGCTGAGGGGAGCTTCTGAGACATTCTCCTGCAAAGAGAGGGGACCTGGCTACTGGGTGGAGGGCGGTCAGGGTGACAAGCGTTTTACTCTAGGGTGAGGCTAGAAAAGGCACCGCATGTGCTGCCTGCACAGTGTGGTGTGTGGTGTGGTGTGTGGTGTGGTGTGTGTGTGGTGTGTGGGTGGTGTGTGTGTGTTCAGGCAGACAGATGTGCGCGTAGGCTACCCCATGCGCTGGGCCTCATGGTGCCATTCGGTCTGCAGCAGCTGCAGGGCAGAGGCAGTGCCCAGGCAGGGGCTGGGGCAGGGGCCGCTGTACCAGCCATAGAGATGGACGTGCCAAAGCAGGTCCCTTCTCAGGCCCCGAGAAGTGCAGAGACTTACCCAAGGCCACACAGGACAAGAATGAGAATCTGGGACTTGCCTGGAGCAACCTGGCCAGATGTGGACACAGGGCAGCGGGGCATCTCCTCAGCACCCTCCCTTCTGCTCCTGTAGAAGGCTCAGCTCGGACACCAACTAACCCACAGGGTCACCAATCTGTCCCTGAGGAGCTCCACCACCAGGG